ATAAAGGCTTTCTTGTTGATCGTCTTAATAGTAACAGTTTCTAGGATCCAAGGGGAGCAAAAGAGAGAACAATTTTTTGTGTAGCTAGGTAAGGCGACATGCCGGCTTTATACTTCTTCCGGCGCGATAACGATAATGATGACAACAATGGGCAAAAAGCACCGTCCGCTAATGATGACGATTATCATAGTTATTAACAAATCTCAGTTATAGTCCTGAAAAAAATCTCAGGGGGTCCTTTGAACAATCCACTTAATCTCGCCAGAAGTCAAAGTTGCCTGCACTCATTCTAAGGTTCGTGCGATTTTACGACGAATTTTCAATTCCGGTGTGTTGCATGCGCGACTTTTGATAGAAAAAACCTGCACGCGCCATAACTTAAAAGAACGTGTCAGCGGAATGAATCTAATCTCTATCACTTTGCATACATTCTTGGGAACAGAAAAAATTATTTAGAGCAAACATTCTAAGTATATTGTTTAATTCCGTGCAATGGGGCATAAATAAAAGGTTCTGGTGGAAAAGACACCTTATTTTATACCACTGATGACAAGCAAAAAGGTTATATGGGTACCCCGGTTAAAAATATATTGATAACTCTATTTAATTAATACCAGTTCTAATTTAAAGGAGAAAGTTATGAGAATAAAATAAAAGTTGTCTGTACCACTAAGCATGCCTTCGCTGTTTAGACTGATAGTCCTAGAGCTTTTTGAGCATGTATTCGAATATCTTATGACGATAAGCCCGCCACCCACCCCACCCCGCGCTATGTTGTTTTCACTTCGCGGCTTGTCAGCGGTCACGTTTATGAGGTAAACAAACCGATCGATTCCTGATCACCGTTCTTGTCGATCGGAAAATCAAAATACCAGCGTGATATTGCCGCGAAGATGAAGCAGTTATGTTATTTGATTTGTACTTCACATTCGAGTCGAAGCTTGGGTGGCACAGGTTATTTCTTGCGGTGGAATCGACGAGGGGAATTCAGAAAGTTGTAGTGTTTGAATTGTTGGAATAAATGGTCGCATGGGGATGGTAAGTTTAACGAACAATTTCAAATTTTGCCGCTTGAATTGAAAGTAAAGTTCATTTGAATTGCTTTCGTATGTATTTCTGACGGTTTTAAATCTACCTGCTTGATTTATATCGGTTACGCTTCATGTTGACAAGTCCCCCAAAATGGCGGCCAAACTTGGAGATTACCGAAAATTAGGTAAGTTCACGGAGTTATAAAGTTCTCGTAAAGGTCGGGCCGCAAAGTTTTTTTCTGTAGTTACCTTTTCTATGGCACCTACTTCCTAGCTATGTTAGTTGGATCAGTTAAGAACGCTTCACTTTTTCAAAAATTTACCTTAAATTTTATCGGTTTTGGCGTGTGTGATTTAAGCGAACTGATAAGGTGTCATTCAAGTCTTCCTGTTTCCTTGATTGACACGTGATGTTTACGAAAGTCGCCTCGATAGATAAGATAGAGTTAATATACATGGCTGTGGTTTTTTTTTTTTTTTTTTTGCTGAGTTCCGTAGTTTTTTGTAAATTGTCCTCCAAATTTGTATGAAATTAAAGTCTTGAAAAGTGTCACGACAAGCCTTCGCTCGAGTGAAATTTAATTTCCGTAAAACTCTGAAAAATAAAGAGATCCGATCAAACTGATTGTGGTTTTAGTATAGGTACATAAATGTCTTACAACACACGAGAAACGAGCGAAATCCGTGTCTCAAGCAAAATCGACCGGACCGCTCTTACAGAGACACTCTCTTAATTCCTCTATTAGCACAGGCTGACAACCCTGTGGGTTTGAGGCAAAAAAATGAACATCAATTAGCGTTTCAAAACAGAATTACTACGACACGCTAAGGAAAGTGCTGCCATGCATTTCAGTGGAGAAATGTTATGATCACTTTACCATGTCCAGCAGTTTTATAACAACATTCATTTTGCTGATTTGTTCCGTTGTTGAAAGAACCTCCCCCTCCCCCACAGGAAATATCTTTATTCGCACCTCCACTTCCCCCAGAGTACCCTCCACCTCCCCCAGGTAACTCATGGAGGTAAAGATATCCACCCCCACCTCCGAACCCACCCCGCTGTGTTCCCCCCTCTCCCCCGTTCAGGAATCCTTTACCTCCCTTTCCCCCTCCACCAGACATCTTAGAGTTTTCTCCATTACTGTAGAAGCCGCCGCCGCCGCCGCCGCCGCCGCCGCCGCCACCACCACCTACAATCAAGAGATTTACAATTGACATTAGCAACTTAGTATATCATGGCTTTTAGTAATTCTAAAAAAAATCCAAATCTGAGCGACCAGTACCACCTCTTTGTTCGAAATACTGATGGATGGCAGTAGAATGCAAAAAAAGTAATTCAGTATCCATAGATGGGAAATTCTTCACCTACCAGAGGGCGGTTTATCAGTTTGTCCTCCTTCTCCGTTACTTCCTCCAGACAGGAATGGCGAGTTATACCCTGCATTTCCTGTTGTGTTTATGGACGCATCACACCCCGAGTGTTGTTCTGTCATATTTGCAACTCCTCCTCCACCTCCGGCTATGATCAAAGGCTCGTTGTCTCCTCTTACTACAAATGTACCTCCTCCGCCTGAGCCAGTTTTTTTGTTATAATACGCTTTTTGTCCTCTTTGACCAACAAGTATACTAATGTTCTCACCTTTGGTCAACATAAAGTTTCCAATCATCCGCGCCCCTCTCCCTCCTTTTATGACACTGTCCTTACTGTACCCCCCTGAGGCTCCTATTGTTTCTATTCTGTATTCACCAGTGTGTGGCACAGTCCACAGTTGAATACCGCTGGACACAGTGACTTGTCCGTTATGATCCTGACCTGTATAGTGACTGCCAACTGAGTCTGGACCCTTTCCTCCACTCTCACCAAGATTTGTAAAAACAGCTGTAAATCCTTCGTAAAACACATACACAAAAAATTAAAAGTTATGATACTAGTGAGAAATTGTCATAGTTACTTTTGGCTCTGCCAACACAGTAAAAACCCACTTAAAAGAACAGGTGTTTTGGGGGTTCAGGCTGATTTTGTTCTTATACATTGGGTGTTTTCTGCAAAACCAACCTGAAAATGTTTGTAAGGTTTTCTTAAAATTGTTTTTTAAAATTAAATACTGCATAGACTACCAACAGATGAAATCAATGTGCAAGCGCAACTTTTTCATTAATTCATGGATGGAACTAACCTTAACTGCCTTAATTAAGGCAATAATATTACATTGGGGGAGGGGTAGCAGTTCTGGTGATAAACAACTCAAAACTCAGCAAAAGTCAAGCAAATTCAAAATGCACCAGCCCCCCCGCCTCCCTCTTTCCAAGGTTCCCAATCCTACAAGGAAACTGAGAGAGCAAAATGTCAGCATTCAGTTTCTTACATTTCCAGTCCAATTATCAGATCCATTTAAATCTGATAGTTTTCCAAACCATGGAGTGAGATCTTTACATCATCAGAGCCATCTGCTCTTCGCAAACAGCCAGTTTTCTCACACAATCTCTCTGAGAGAAAGTTTCGTAATTACTTAACTCACTCCACTCCTCCCCAGTCCATTGGGTCATCAAGATCGTTCTATCCTTTGCTGAAAGTCTATTCTGCCATTTATCGAGATTTTTCTCCTCTTCCAGCCATTTTTCCATTGCTGCACCAATTTTTCCTTTCATAATCCGACCACATCCTGTATCAATGGGCAAGATCTTGTCAGTGTGGTTTTCAGGCAGCATGTAAACTGTAGTGTTGATCTGATGTCTGCATTTTCATGGAATTATTGAATTCGGAAGCTGACATTGTCTGCAAATATAACTTTTTTCTTCTTTATCATTCCCAATTCCTGGAATGTGTGCCCTAGACTCATTGCATGTTGATTTCTTCATCCATCCAGGCATTTTGCTGGAAATACACATCAATCCTCTTGTCATACTTTTCTTTCTCCTCAGTGGCCACACGCCCATTTCCTCTGAAGATAAGAGCTGGCTTCACATTTTGTTCCCCATCAGCCCCAATACAAAGTTGTAGAGTAGCCTGTCTTTTATCTAAACGAAATGATGGTTGTGACACGCACACTTGCTTAGCACCCAACGTATCGCAGGTTTTATCTTACTCATTTACAAATGGGACAGGAACCCAACTAGTCGATATTGTATCTATTTTTAGGTATCCATCTTCCATACTTTGGGTCAACTGTATAGGACTTGTTTCTTCTCCTTTGTGTTTTCAAGGCTTTCCTCAAATCCCTGTGGAATTTCTGGATCGTATCCCAGCCATCATCTGTCCAGATTTTTTTCTTGTTGGTCCTTCTCTTCAGTACTATGTTGTGTCTTTCCTTGAATCTCTGGAACCAGTTGCTACTTCCTTTAAATTTTGTAGCTTCTTCTGCGCCATAGCTTGCTTCAATTTTCGATTTTATTATTTTTTTTAACCAAAGTTTGGACTCTTTGTATCCTTCTGCTCTCCGAAGTTCAAACTAGGCAAGTAAAAGATTGGAAGCCAGAGGATATTGATCAGTACGTCGGGATCTGTTCCCAGCGATCCTTCTCCTTTGTCTCATTGGCCTTGCACTACCTGTGTTCTTCTTCGTCATGGTTAGAGTCAGTTCTGCATGAAGTTTGCTTCTGTCTTTTTCCCACTTAAACACCAGTGATCTGTTGACTCCTTGTTGCTTTGCAACTGTATTGTATTTATTAGTTGATGACTTCAGTGAATCCAAAAGATCAGTGTTTTCTTTATGAAATCGACAGTGTTAGGAGTTTCGCTTGTTACTTCCTCTCCAATGGTTGCTTCACCTTTGAGTTTGACCTTGCGCAACACTGGCCGATTCACGTGGCACATCCTCAAGCTGTTGACTCTCAGCCATTCTCAGCATGTTTGTTTCACCCGAGTGGTTGTTGATGTAACCCTAAGCAATAGTCAATGTATTTATAGATGCTGAGCTGATGCTGTTCGAGTTCTGTGCGGCTGAAGCTGGGTGCTTGAATTGTAAATGGCTGTTCAGATAAGATATGGTTGACCTTTGAACGATCTGTCGCAATGTTTGCATTTAACTGTGGCGTTGCTCAGTTTAGCTGTCTTTTCCAATGTCGACGTAATGTCCTACAGTCTGCCATCCTTCAACTCTACTGATTTTCGTAAACCGTAATCGAATAAAGTACGATTCATCTTCCACAACTCATCAAAATTCGAACCAGAAGAGGAACACAAAAGTTAATTCTTCGTCCCACCCATGCAGTAATTGTTGCATAATCAGCAATTCATTGGTGCTATCGTTAATCCTATTCATTGCGCCATTCGCGTCTTGTCACGTTTTGTCGCAATATAAATACTAGCTAATGAGTGTATATTGTCCCAACCGTTATATATGCAGAAATGCTACCAAATATATAAATTCGTGGGTTTAGTTCTAGGTAGGATTATTACTTTGATTAGAGTGTGTGTGAGTAAAAAACTTTTGCAGAACCGAGTAGTTAACAGTAATGAATCCCATAACACCTTGTACATCTACTGTCCTAGAGACAATTACTGTTTTGCTGTAGAGTGGTTTCCTGTTTTCTTGAAAATTACCCAAAAGGCATTTGGAGTGAGGGAGAGGGAAGCCTCCATCTTGAATTTCTCTTGGGGAAAGTCAGCTTTCTGCACAAATCAAACTATAACATGGCAGATGAATACGAATTCTATGCTCAGGCAAGATTACCACACTTATTTTTTAGATTCAACGGTGTATGTTGGAGAAGTTTTGGACTGCGAGCAGAAAGACTCAGGCTATGTTTCTTTAGATAGTCTTTCTTCGATCGATTCGGAACCTGCCTTTGAAACTAAACGCAAGTATAAACCAGGAGCAATGCTATATCAGCTTTAAGTGCTGATTTCAGGTCAGACACGTAACCTCCAAGAAATGCCGAAAAAATTTCCTTTTTTTAATCATAGCCTTTTAAACCAATGAGCAGCGGATTTACAAATATATAGCAAGGCCTGGTTACATCTACAAAACGGCCATCAAAACGAGGAAGGAAAGAGATGATATGGCAAGACTTTGTCTCTCTTGATTGCATAGTTCTGATGGATTTGTCCTTTGCGGTAGCTGAAGAGAATAAAGTAAAACATTGGTTTTCAAACTGGTTGATTTTTCCGAGTTTCTCGATTGATATATTGGATTTTTTAGCTGGTTTCTTAAGCCTTGTCGAGTAGTCGAGAATAGGAGAAGATGAATTAGAGTGATCGAGATGTTAGCTCTAAAATGGAACTTTTGGTCAGGAGTGTTTGTAGAAATACGAGACAACATGAGAGATTTGGAGTCTGTTTTGAGGGTCTTTTTGCATCTACGTAAATCTATTCGAAATTTCAATTTCTAAAATCTCACAACTAAAACTGTTTTAATAGCTGTTTCCTAACTTCTAAGAGCGTGGGAAGATTGTTATCTTCGCGTAAAAGCTTAAGTATTAAAGAATTTTTTTTAACGCCGTACAGTGCTCTGCAACTCTCAACCACCTTAATTAAAAGCCGTTTGGCTTGAAACATGATCCATTAGTCGAATTTCTGGTAATGTTATGAAAGAAAAGAAAATACCGCCCCGCTTGTTTCTATTCATCTTAATATTTCAAAAAGCTTCTGACTAATTGCAAGCAAATCTCCTTTGGGTGCCTCTTCAAGTTTCCACTCCTTAACAAATTCAACCAGCCAAAAGAGGAAAACGGCAGTGGTCGGATCGTTAAAGTAAATGTGGGGAATCTTGTGTTTTCGTTGTTATATATTCCCCGTTCTTTTAGAAATTAAAATTGCTCTGAATATGACTGAATACTACCTAACAAACAAGAAGCAAATACTGATAACCAGAAATTAATTTATTGCTTTTATTAAAATGTGCATTGAGAGATTATATATATATATATATATATATATATATATATATATATATATATATATATGTATATACATAATATATCTCTCTTTATGTGAAATTACTTAACATTCACTTGTATTTGACGTCCAGATATTACAAGCAAGCAGCTCGCAGCTGACTGTTTCGTTCCATTTTTTCTGAACAGTGGAAAGAGAGTTCTTAGCGCGACAGTTTGTATGCGGGTTTATTGTTAGGGGTATGAATATCCGTCTAATTGGTAATAAATCAATGATAACCGTCACCCATGAAGAACAAGGTTCCACACCGTCAACGATAAAAATCAACACTCTTTCCTTGATACAGTAAAGAAGTACCAAAGTAGGTGTGCTGGGTGTAGTTTGGTGTAGTGAGTGTAGTTGTTGAATGCTGGTGTAGTAGGTGTAGTTTGGTGTAGTAAGTGTAGTTAGTGAATGCTGGTGTAGTTTGGTGTAGTAAGTGTAGTTGGTGAATGCTGGTGTAGTAGGTGTAGTTTGGTGTAGTAAGTGTAGTTAGTGAATGCTGGTGTAGTAGGTGTAGTTTGGTGTAGTAAGTGTAGTTGGTGAATGCTGGTGTAGTTTGGTGTAGTTTGGTGTAGTAAGTGTAGTTGGTGAATGCTGGTGAAGTTTGGTGTAGTAAGTGTAGTTGGTGAATGCTGGTGTAGTAGGTGTAGTTTGGTGTAGTAAGTGTAGTTGGTGAATGCTGGTGTGGTTTGGTGTAGTTTGGTGTAGTAAGTGTAGTTGGTGAATGCTGGTGTAGTAGGTGTAGTTTGGTGTAGTAAGTGTAGTTGGTGAATGCTGGTGTAGTAGGTGTAGTTTGGTGTAGTAAGTGTAGTTGGTGAATACTGGTGTAGTAGGTGTAGTTTGGTGTAGTAAGTGTAGTTGGTGAATGCTGGTGTAGTTTGGTGTAGTTTGGTGTAGTTTGGTGTAGTAAGTGTAGTTGGTGAATGCTGGTGTAGAAGGTGTAGTAAGTGTAGTTAGTGAATGCTGGTGTAGTTTGGTGTAGTAAGTGTAGTTGGTGAATGCTGGTGTAGTAGGTGTAGTTTGTTGTAGTAAGTGTAGTTGGTGAATGCTGGTGTAGTTTGGTGAAGTAAGTGTAGTTGGTGAATGCTGGTGTAGTTTGGTGTAGTAAGTGTAGTTGGTGAATGCTGGTGTAGTTTGGTGTAGTAAGTGTAGTTGGTGAATGCTGGTGTAGTTTGGTGTAGTTTGGTGTAGTAAGTGTAGTTGGTGAATGCTGGTGTAGTTTGGTGTAGTTTGGTGTAGTAAGTGTAGTTGGTGAATGCTGGTGTAGTAGGTGTAGTTTGGTGTAGTAAGTGTAGTTGGTGAATGCTGGTGTAGTAGGTGTAGTTTGGTGTAGTAAGTGTAGTTGGTGAATGCTGGTGTAGTAGGTGTAGTTTGGTGTAGTAAGTGTAGTTGGTGAATGCTGGTGTAGTTTGGTGTAGTTTGGTGTAGTAAGTGAAGTTGGTGAATGCTGGTGTAGTAGGTGTAGTTTGGTGTAGTAAGTGTAGTTGGTGAATGCTGGTGTAGTTTGGTGTAGTTTGGTGTAGTAAGTGTAGTTGGTGAATGCTGGTGTAGAAGGTGTAGTTTGGTGTAGTGAGTGTAGTTGGGGAATGCTGGTGTAGTAGGTGTAGTTTGGTATGGTTTCGTGTGGTAGATGTAATTAGGCGTTGTTTGGTGTAGTAAGTGAAGTTTGGTGTAGTTTGATGTAGTAGGTACAGCTCGGTGTCGTTTGGTGCAATAGTCATAGTGGGTCTACTTTGGGATAATGTCGAAGTTTGGTGTAATTCGGTGTAGT